GTAGTGTTTTGTAGTTTTCTTTCTACAGGTCTTTTGTGTCATTAGTAAGATTTATTCCCAAGTATTTTATTTTTTGGGTAGCTAATCTACTTCTGCTCGGAAGGAAGGTTGGGAAATCCTACTTCCGTAGTTATACTGCCTCAGAAACCCAAGGAGGGGTCGCTATGAGTCAGGGCTGACTCGACGGCACATAACAACAACAACAACAACAATCTACTTCTGTAGTGATACTGCCTTGGAAACCCAAGGAGAGGTCGCTAAGAGTCAGGTCCAACTCCATGGCTCATAACAACAACAACAACATTGTAAATGTATTCTTTATTTCCTTTTCAGCAATCTCTTTGCTGGTGTAGAGGAATCCAACTGATTCTTGTATGCTGATATTGTATGTCACTATGCTAAATCTATTGTTCCAGTAGTTTTTTTTTTTTTTTTGCTGAGTCTCTTGGGTTTTCTATGTACAGGATCATATCATCAGCAAATAGGTATAGTTTTCCTTTTTCCTTACCAATATGGATGCCTCTGATTTCCCTTTCTTGCCTTACTGCCCTGGCTACGACTTCCAATGCAATGCTGAATAGAAGTGGTGATAGAGGGCATCCTTGTCTGGTTCCTGTTCGTAAGGGGAATGGTTTCAGTCTCTCTCTGTTAAGAATAATGTTGGTTGTTGGTTTTGCATATACGCCCTTTATATAATGTTGAGGAATGTCCCTTCTATTCCTATTTTGCTGAGAATTTTTTTTTTTTTTTTTTATCAGGAATGGCTGTTGGATTTTATCAAATGCCTTTTTTTGGTAGATTCTTCATTATTCTTTAATGTTGCATAGTATTCCATTGTGTGTTTCTATCATAGTTTGCTATCTATTCATCCATTGATGAGCATTTAGGTTGTTCCCATCTCTGCTACTGTGAATAATGCTGTGACAAACTTTGTGGCTCCATAGAATTTTGAAGCTGTGATGTTTCAGAAGCAAACTGCCAGGCTTGTCTCTCAAGGCCCAAAAGGGTAGGTTCAAAGCATCAATCATTTGGTGAGTGGTTGAGGTCTTAACCTTTTGCACCACTCCGGGTCTCCTTTTAATATGTAGTAGAACTCTGCTGGAATCCATAGGTGGCACAAACAGTTAAGTTCTTGGCTACCAGCTGAAAGGTTGGCAATTCAAACCCATTCAGAGATACCTTCAAAGACAGGTATGGAGATCTCCTTCCAAAAGGTCATAGCGTTGAAAACCCTATGGAGTAGTCCTACTCTGCACACATGGGGTTGCCATGAGTTGGAATTAACTTGACAGCAACTGACACTAATAAAGAATGCTTTTAATATAAGGGTCAGTATTTCATGCATTTGGTTAAACTACAAGATAAATTCTATTTACTTAGAGATAATCACTATGCTAGAAACAACACATATAACTATGCTGATTATCTCTAGAGTCACTGCTAATCTTGTCCTGAATCCCTCAACTCAAAAAGGTTTCATTATAGAAGGAAAACAGGGAATTTGTTATTCAAGTGTTTAGTTCTTATTCTAGCAAATGATGTCAAAATTCTACTGTTTTTTTGGGTCTATCCTGTTTGGGGTCCACTGGACATCCTGAATGGATATATTTTCATATTTCATCATATCAGGGAAGTTCTCTTCCAACATATCTTGGACAATTTTCTCAGTGGTTTTATTTTTCTCTTCCTGTTCTGGAATTCCAGTGACAAGTAGGTTATTCCTTTTGATAGTATCTCACATGAACCTTAGGCTTTCTTATTTTGTTTTGATCTCTTTCCTAATTAATCCCTTTCCAAAGAAGTATTCAGGTGTTTGTTTTCAATCTCATTAATTCTGTCTTCCACTGATTCTATTCTAGTCCTTTGCTCTTTCAATGTGTTATCTATTTCTGAAAATTTAGTATTAATTTTCTCGATTTCTATCCTAGATTTTGAATCATTTCTAATTTTTCATTTATTTTGTCATTTTGTTCTTGTATTTTCTTCCAAAATTGTTCTAGGGTTTTGTCTGTGTTTTCCTAGATCTGTCTCTCAATCCTTGGAAGATACTTAAATATCTTTTGAATTCCTTATCAGGGAGTTCTAATGCTGCTTCTTCCTCATGGTTATGTTCTGGGTCTGTATCCTGCTTCCTTGTTTCTACCACTTTATCTGCTTTTTTGTGTGGACTGTGATGGTGTGTTGTCTCCAAGACATTGTGACATTGTTGTATTTAGATCTCTGTTAACTATTTGTGAAGAGCAGCTAAGGGTGAGTCAGGCTCTTCTTGGTAGTTGTTTATTGTCATCCAGCTGGTGTGTTGGCCAGCTGGTGGAAGAAGTGGTGGCTCTCTCTCAGTAAGTGAAAGTGCAGGAGATGTAGGTGTTTCGTGTCATATGGGCACTGTTGCTGTCTCCCATTTAGTTAGACAAAAATAACAACTGAATAATCATCAAAAAAGTAAAAGCAAGTGGATAAAAAGCACATCATGTACTCATACAGGAACAATAACTGAAAAAGAAAAAAAGAAAAAACAACCCTGAAATCTCTTGGGAGAGGGCAATAAGAGAAAAAAGGTAGAGTAGGAAAATAATGAAGAAAAAAGTAGGAAAAATGCAAAATGGAAAATAAGGAATGGGGCTAGCCACGAGAAAGAAAAAAAATTGGAACCAAGAACAGGGAAGAGAGAAAAAGCTGAAAACTAGAACCAAGGAAGGAAAGAATAAAGAATAATAATAAAAAAGACAATACTACGACTACCACGACTACTACTACTACTACTACTACTAATTTTAAAATAGAGAAAAACAAACTAACATAAAAAAGGGAAGGAAAAAAAAAATCTGGGCAGGGGGCAGGGCACCCAGACTCCATCCAACCACAGAGACTGGGATGGAATTCCTGCCAGTCTAGAAGGTGAGTGTGAGTGAGGGATGGCTGCACCTCCGCCCACCAAGAGGGTTTAGGGGATAAGAGTAACAAGGGGAATATTGTACCTTTCCAGTTACTGGTGTCTGGAATGTCTTTGTGGTTCCTGGCAAGTGGAGCCTATTCTTAGGTCCCTGGAATCTGGGAGAACACTGTCGGTTTAAATATTCAAAATGGTCCAACTGCTTGTTGACATTCAAAATGGCAGTACCCTCTGGACAGGCAAAAGTCCACAGCTCACCCACCTTCCTCTTCATTGCTTCCCCTTTTATTCACCAGCCACCAGTATAGTCTTCCGTGCAGTCCCTGGCTAGCAAGGCTGATTTTTAGGTTAATTTAGGTCCTAACACCACTTGGCAATATCTAAGCTGTCTGTGCCATCAGGATTGCTGCCAGACCCCAGCTCCATATGTCTCCTTTTTTGGTATTTTCATGGAAATTCTTCTACTAGTTGGAGTTTAGTTCATTTCTATATCTTTCCCTTCATAGCTCAGGGGTCCAGGATTATCTTCTGTATCTGTGTTAATTGGTTCCTCTTTTCTTTTTTGAAGAGGATATATTCTGTTATCTTACCGGAACTCAAAATTCTGCTGTTTTTAAAATGGATTTTAAAAAATCTACTAACCTAACAAGAAAGAATGGTGGACAAGAAATAGTAAGAAGGGTTCTGAAGAAAGATTGAATTTGAGCTCAGAAATGTTAAAAAGTCATGCAGCAAAGGACAGTTGGTCCACAAAAGGAACAGTAATCACCCCCTTAGCTCAACAAAAAGGAAAGGAGATAAAATACGTGAGATAAAAATCTTATAACTTACACAGTATAGAAAGAGTAAAAGAAACAAAGAATGAGATAAAAAAGGAAGAGAAAGGAAGGAAAGAGGAATCTTCCCTAAGTTGGCCATGTACACAAGATCTTATAGAAGCTTCTCTCTGTCTGGAGACCCAGAAGAGTTGGGTAGAACTCTTCACAAGGTGAGAGCTGTGAAAATGAGCTCTGCCATCATATTGCTTAAATAACATCCCACCTTCATTTTCCATTGAGTCAGGTGACCTAACAAATGTAACGTATATGCATAACTTTTTCACTCCATCTCTTCCCCCCTATATCTAGTCTAATAGGCTAAGTTATGCATAAAAGTTACATTTTTGCTTCACCCATACTCATCTATTGTTAGGTCACCTGACTCAATGGAAAGGAGAGAGAAGCAATCTTTTATGGTATAGTAAAGAAAGAGAAATTTTGCAGTATTAAGTACATGGAAAATATGTTTCAACCAGTTATATAACCCAGGTTAATACAAGTGACTTTATTACATAGTAAGTGTTCAGATTCAATGAATTCCCTTTTTAATACTGTTAAGTATTCATGCAGGAAGAGACCTGGGAATTATTCATATGGCACAGATAAGATAAGTGACTGATTTTCTGTTCAACTTGCATTGGAAATATTAAAAGTAATGAAAATAGTTTTTACCATGTAATATTCTAAAATACCATACACAAAAAATATTTTTCTTACCAATGAGAAAGAAATAAACTAATTTTAAATATGTCTAGTTAAATTTTTATTTGCATAGGATGGTTTAATGGTAATTTCTAGCTATAGGATTAAGAAAACATATTAATAATAGTATGTAATAATTTATTTCCAGAAAATATTTTTTATACTGTAATCAAATATTCAATTTTTTTTGAAATCATCAAAATAGTATTTTAAAATAATAAATGATAAAGTAGAAAGAAAGGCTCACATAATGTTTAGGGGGAAATACAAATACAAAATTACATATACAGTATGAGTTCAACTACATAAAAATGCTTAGAAACACCAGAGTGAACTATACTGAAAAATTAATGGTAGTTATTTGGGTGGAAGCATTATGGGCAATTTTTATCTTCCTCTTTATGTTGTCTGTCTGTCTGTCTCTCATACACACACACACACTCATGTATACTTAGACATATATAAAAATAAAACTATTTTAAGGAAAGCTTCATGTGAACATGTGTTAAAGATTCCAGACTGCCTACAAAAATCCAAAACTAATTTCTAGAATAGGTCTAAGAAAAGTATATTAACACAAACATACTTACCGTCACATGACAGGGAAACATAACTTCCTAAGTCATCAGACATGTGTCGCATCACATTTCTACCCATCTTAAGACCAAGGAAGATCCAATAATCTATTGCTGCTCCAAGAATTCCAGTCAATACGTAAGCTAGTTCATGTTTGAAGACCTAACATTAAGATTGGAAAAATATTATTAAACTATGTTATTTCTAACAGTGTTTGTTTTGAAAACCTATTGAGAGGCAAAAGTTAGCTATTTAAAAATACAGGTCATGCCAATGCTAGAAGGTATGGTTGAGGGCGCTAGCAAACTAATTCACATTTTATTGTCTTCTTGTGTACATGTTCACACTTGCATTATCTTTTTTTTCTCTCACTCTCTACAAAATCCCCCCTTCGCCACAATAAAATATTTTCTAGAGTCTTCTATATAGATAGTTTAGCTAGAACTTGTAAAATAATTTTATCCAATGATGTCAAGTGCTTGAATCAGGCAATAATTCCATTCAAACAATGAGAAAATACTTGGCTTCTATGGATTTCTGTTAACAGGAACATATGGATATAAAACAAGATAGATTTAGTCACCCTATTTGTTTATGAATATAGAATTAAACTTTCAATTACTCTAAATGGGCACTTTCCAGGAAAGACTTGAGACACACAATGAATAAAAGCTTTAACAAATAAGATCATCCATTTGTTCTAATGAAGCTGTTGTTGTTAGGTGCCATCAAGTCAGTTTCAACTCATAACGACCCTATGTACAACAGAATGAAACACTGCCCAGTCCTGTGCCATCCTCAGAATCATCGCCATGCTTGAGCCCATTGTTGCAGCCTGTGATAGTTGGAGCTGTGTGTCAACTTGGCTGGACTCCAGTTCTGTGTGGTTGTTCCCATGATGGGATGGGATGATCGTGTTCTGAGTGGCCAATCTGCCCAAGGGGAAACCTAGGCGTGTGGCCTGCTTCCAGGATATCCAGGGACATCCTGGGAAGAGAGACATTCTTTTGTGGATAGGGACCCTGGTGTGCTGACTACAAACTTCCATGAGCGAGAAGCCCACCGCTCAGCCTTGAGATCTTGGATTCGTCTTTCGTTGGTGTCACCAACTAGTGTACTGCCTGTCAGCCTTGAATTTCTTGGCCTCCTGTGGTTGTGGAAGCTAAGGCTGCCTCCAGCCTGATGTTTCCTCCAGGGACTTTGGACTTGCCAACTTCTATACGTTTGTGAGCCATTTTCCTAAGATAAATTTTTTTTTTTTTCTCTCTCTCTCTATATATAAGCTCTGCTGGATTCTGTTTGTCTAGAGAACCCAGGCTAACACACAGCCACTGTGTCAATCTATCTTCTTGAGGGTCTTCCCTATTTTCGTTGACCCTCTACTTTACATACCATGATATTCTTCTCTAGGGGCTGGTCCCTTTGTCTCAACGAAGTCTGTAAAGAAGTAGACTAACTCAAATCTTTAACTATTAATCAAATATTCATTACCTAAACTAGAGCTATACAGAGATCATAGTCTAAAACAGTATGAATATTGTTTTAGATCTATAATTTTTTTTTTTTAAATCCCTTAAGAATTATAACCAAAAACCAAACTCACTGCCATACAGTCAATTCTGACTCAGAGTTACACTACAGGACAGAGAAGAATTGCCTCACAGGGTTTCCAAGGCTGGAAGTCTTTATGGAAGCAGATCACTACATCTTTCCCCCGTGGAATGGCTGCTGGGTTCAAATCACCAACCTTTCGGTTAGTAGCCAAGTGCTTAACTACTGAGCCACCAGAGCTCCTGGGTAAGAATTATAGCAAGACATAAAAACCTTACTTACAATAAGCATGCTTTCCCAAATGTTTAAAAACATTTCTCTAATCTATAAAACTCAGCATAAACTATAAAGATGAAGAAGTGCAAAAATAATATTTTAAAACACCTTTGATTTAAATGTAAACACTTTTTCACAATGACATTAAAGCTAGTTGAAATTCCTATATTTTTGGTATTTGTTGTCTAGGCATGTTGGATGCGTGAAAAAAATCACTAAATTAACAGTTGGGTAGAAAGCATGTAAAAGGGTTTTAATAAATGTTACAGTATCTGAATAAATTATAAGTACGATGCTTTGTCATTATACTATACTCAATATGGATAGGGGTATCCCTGGCATTTTGAGCTCTCAGTAACTACTGTATTTGTTTCACTTGCCCTCAGAGGACAAGGTTCTTATAGACATATATACAGTATTTCATTAATACAACATTCCTTACGATAAAAAGCTATTAATTAAATGATTTCAAAATTGAAGTACTAATGTCTGGTTTGTTGTGCAAACAAGGGCAAATGGTTGAACAAATGGTTGATCCACTGAAGAAGTGTTTATCAAGTGAAGATCCAGGGTCAGGGCCAGTAGTAGGTTCGTAACCCTATCATACTCTAGAGCAGCAAATTGCAATCTGGCCAGGCTAGACATTGGATTACGAGAGACAGATCCCAAAGTGCTAGGCTGAAGATATTTTAAGTTGTAGGTTTAGAAAGGTACTACCCTTCCTCTGATATGACCAGGGGCCATGATCCAGAAGTCTGACTACAGACTGAACCTGCCAGGTCAGGATTCATGGGTATGCATCAGTACCATCTCTTCAACTTCCCTGATTAGGGTTAAGTTTCAGAGTTGTAGCTGTATGACATGGGAAATCAGTAGCAGGACTGGATATATTAGCAAGCTGGGAAAGCCCCAACGCCTCCCCTGGCAGGATCTGGGGGTCTAGGAATCAAACCTTGCAGCTAACTAGAATTGACTGCCTTAAGCACCAAAGAAGTCTGTAGGAAGCCAACTCCATTCTTTGGGAGGTCAACCTGTAAATGATCAGTCTGAGCAAATTAAATGAAAGTCCTCAGATTGCCACAGTCATGGTTCAAGATACCAAAAGAACATGAAACGAGACAGTAAAAATATAAACTAGCAAATTTTGATCAGGTCCATATACATGACACAGATTGTTTCTTCCAACATAATGTATATCTGAGTATCAGCAATAACACTACCCAGGTAGGAAACAAGAGGCTGGTCAATTTTAATTTCTGAAAGTATTCCTTATTTCAAGGGTATACTAATTTTGGATCCACTGAGATCCCAGGTCCTAAGCCTCTTGGTAGCTGGACTATACGAAGAAAAATGTGGCATCAGGATTGGAGGAAGAATCATTAACAACCTGAGATATGCAGATGATACAACTTT